GCCAAAAATATAATTCAGTCAGGACAAAGGTAATGAAAGAAGATTGATGTATTGATGACATTAGTGCACCAAAACCCTGATAAAACGGTAATAAATGGACTGATTCTTATATAATACTGAGTGATGTAATGGGATACATGCAATCTCTTTGCAATGAACAGCAAACTGTTATAAGGTGTCAAAAATATGCTGCCGCTGGCTACATACTTCGCATAAGCTGCTTACATTCAGAGTCCAAAAAGCAACTCATAGATCTGAAAATTCTGAAATTCCTTTATAAATAGTTGCTACAGAACAGAAATTTACATGTAAAGTGACATAGGCACTTTTAAATAGCAGAGCAACCAGAATATAACCAGATGGCAACCAACTGAGCCAAGTCCCCTACTTCAAAGAGGCGGGTTGCACACGGGTTGCAGAGGAGTCTGCAGACCGATGCAAACTGATTGTAACTTATTGTCTAAGTTAATAAATCAGACACCAGTTATTTGCAAACCTTAGCCAATCTGCAAGACTGCAGTTGTTTGGAGACAGGTTGCTTCCCACATGTCTGACTTGCCTTAACATCTGAGCAACAGCTGGTGGTAGAGTAGGTCATCTACCAATCAAAAGGTTGGGGGTTTGATTTCCGGCTCCTCCAGCCCATGTGTCGAAGGTTCCTCGGGCAAGATACTGAACCCTGAGTTGCCCTCGTCAGAGTGTGAATGTCAGATAAGAAACGTCTTTAGATATAGATAAAAGCACTGTATGAGTGTGGCTGTGACTGGTGAATAAGACCAGTTGTAGTAGAAGTGCTCAAATTGGGTAGAAAGGTGCTATATTAGTACCCGTCCATTTATCATTTACCAAGCAGGCAACCCATTGTTACGGCCCGGGGCTTTGGAGGGAGTGAGATTGCCCTTTTGTTTATGCAAATCCAAGTGTGCTCGGACTCGTGGAGGATTGGTTACTGGGAGACCCGTTTAAAGTTTGAAATTAAAACCTTTTACTTTACTCAGTTTTGTGTGGGGGGCTTGTGTATGTTACTTCTCCCCTGACGCCTAGCAGAGGGGGTCGTAACATAAGTCACCTTTCTGTTGAAAGTGGTCGATTAGAGGCTGAGGGTTTTGCACACTCAAACTCAACCAGCTGGTTGCCTTAACTCTTGGCAACATTTATTGCAATGAATGGGCAACCAACAATTTTTGTGATTACAAAGGACATATGTATATTTTTCAACTTAAGGTAATTTTTAGGTTACAAAGCCAATTTCTTCCAGCTACTTTCTGTGCGTAAAAATCAGTGGAAATCCCCTTTAAACTGAAATCTATATTTTCAGAAGAAATACCAGCTTTCTCCCAAAAAAAAAGAAATGCTATTTTGAGCAAGTAATCATTTTTAAATAATGGCCACAGCCAACAACCGTAATCATAACACCATTAAGTTATTTGCCCTGGAGCAGATAACAGCAGGAAACTAAAATTAGCACATCTCACATTCAGTTTGTTCCATGCTGTTCGTTCCTATATAAACATCTAGCACGAAAAGGCACAACGAGAGTAATGCTGCATTTGTAATAAAGCGACTGACTGCAACGCTGCGGCGAGAGGTTTGCTGTGATTGCAGCAACACTGTATTCAGTTTCCCTGTAAGAAAAATGTAAATATGAATCTGGCCCTGTGTCATTATTCATGAGTTTTGAAGGGAGCTCCTCCTCTTTAATCGCTGCATTTTAGAGAAACCGAACCACGTGCAAAGAAATGGGGCACACTTTCTGCTTGGCTGGAAAATCATCAGTTGCCACAGGCAGCTGATTAGAGCCTTTGATACTGATTTATCCACGATCACCACTGTCAGCCTCGACAATCTAACATTCACACCTACCTACACACAGTAATTGGCTTAAGTGTGTGGGGGC